ATATATATATATATATATATATGATTGGTGGAATTTCTCTGAATCCGCCCATTAGGTACTGAACGCACTATCCTTATTCGGATAAGAATTTCTGATGAATTCTGTTGGAGACTAGCTTCTATCACCCCTGTGCCTAAGAAAGGATCCTCAAAATTCCGTCCCATTACCTGCACCTCAGTTGTCCTGAAGGTGTTTGAGAGGCTCCTCCTTAAGACCCTAACCAGTATGCATACACCCATTCCCGTGGTACCCTGGATGCCCTTGCTTATCTATCCCACCATGTTTTATCTAACCTGGACAAGAAAAGTAAGGCTATCCGCATATGTTTTCTTGACTATAGTGATGCTTTCAACACGATTAATCGACAAACTTTGTTAAATACCCTCCCTTCGGGCGGAGTTCAACCTTTCACGATTGAACTCTTGGACAACTATTTTTCAAACCGTCAGCGGTTCACACGCTACAAAGGACGTACATCTTAACTGCTGCCCTCCCCTTTTCTATTTTCTGCCTACATTTCCTCTATGCCTGTGAGCAATTCTTCTCTTCTCGTCAAGTATGCAGACGATATAATATTCGGATTGCCCTACCCCAACTCATCATTACAAACGACTCTGCAAGACAACGTGACTGGATTAGTTGAATGGTCACAACAAAGAAACCTCTGCATGAACCCCCGAAAATGTAGTGACGTATTTTTTTCTCTTCTGAGAGGGCAAAAGTTTGGTGAATTATCAAACGCCAGCCCACCTTTATCTATCCTGAGTGAGTAGATGGTACGAAAACCAATAGTCAAATACCTGGGTGTTATTTTTAATCATAACCTCACCTGGTCTGACCATGTCAACGACGTTTTTTTGAAGGTCAGGAGGCTCACTTTTTATGTTTTACTCCCTAAATCCTCTTCCATTCCAAACCATCTCATAAGGCATTTTGTTTTTGCGTGCGTTTTGCCTCATTGGCTTTATGGGTCCCCTGTTATCTTCCCTGGTCTTTTGAACAAGGACCTCAAACTCATTTCCCGATCCCTCAGATTTCTTTCCGTTTGTAGTCTCATACCACGGGAACATCTAGTAGAGTTTGTGGTGACACATCACTTCGAGTCCTGTAAAACATTCTCTAATAAGATTTTATCTGATATCTCCCATCCTCTTTATTCCTCTCTTAGCGACTGCCTTTAACACTCATCTACCCGTTCCACTCACAAACTCATAAAGACTCGCACTGAAGCTTACAGGCGGTCTGTTGTTCCTTATCTCGCCAGATTTCTAACCAAGACCTCGTTACGGGAAATCTGCGTCAAACACTACACTAAATCCCTCATGAACACCCAGGTGTGCCACTCATTTTGGATGTTGCTGTCCCTTTTCTCATCCTTTTAACTGCTGTCATACTATTGTTTTACGTATTTTTTGACACATCGTGGTTATGTGGTTGCTGAATATCCACCTCTCGGGGTGTATAAAGCCATTCCTTGACTTGACTTGAAGACAGACTTTTACTTATCGATAACCGTTAACAAAGCAGAAGATATCAAATCCCTCAGATCTAAGGCGGACTGATTGGCTGGCTACTGAACAGCCTACTGAGCAGAAGAGTATGATGTCGGCCAAGTTCATCTGCCCGACTTCGTTTTCGTTTCAACAGCAATCAGGTTTGTGGCACAGTGACTAATCCAGTCCGCGTTCATGTGATTAAGCCGACCAACGAATGGGATACTTATGGACGTGTACAGGGAAGACAATAGCTGAGAAGAATCCGACTGGCATGTAAAAAGAGACAAATGTATTTGGGCAAACTTTTTGGTAGAAGATTATTTGCGTACATACATACAAATTTCGGTGAACTCATTACAGCGGCACTAATTGGTGGACTGAGTTGAATCGCACAACCGAAGCCACTAGGGTATAGGTTGGATTTTGAGATAAGAGTAAACAGCTGTAGGGTAAGGGTAAGGAATTGTGACAGGATTTCTGTTTTGGCAATCGAGATTGTCCTTATCAGAATGGGTGACATCATCCGCGGATCTGGGATCGGAGCATCTCCTAGTGGTCATATGATGTGAAACAATTGATTAGCACACATCAAGGTCAAGTAGAACACATGTGACGTGGGTCATGAATGGTGATCTCTGACTCCCGTCGTGATTGACGAGTGTGTTAGGTACGTTGTTGGCTTGTTAACTACCTCCACGTGATCACTCGCCGATTGATCGATCGGTAAAAAGCCAAGATTCGATGATCTGTGAAACTTAGCGTAACTTAGTGTCAGTCATTCTATCTTCATGTGAACCTATTTTCAGTACTGTTAGTCGTTGTTGAAAATTTGATAGATGAGTGAATCATGTGCACGCGACTCAACCGCTAGTTTTTTTTCATGGATCCTTTTTGTGAACGGTTTTCCCGTGGTAGAATTTGAAACGCTTGATTTTTCGTCTTCTTCTTCTTCTTCACATTTGTTCCGGAAACGACAGATCAGTTTGCTCTCGTTGGTGGTTGGTGCGCAAATGTGATCCGGTGTGTGGTCTCTTCTGCAACTCTGGGGATTAACCTCTGATTTAATGCAAGCTTATATACGTCACCAAAATGGTTAGTTCAAGGTTTGAAATGGAGTGTGCTACGTGAATCATACGTTGCAGGTTAGCACAGTTGCACAGTAGCAGATTGAACGCATGTGGTTTTCAAGTTCTGTATTGGTGCACTAGTGTGCTTAGCTGTTTCGGGGTAAATTTTTGGTGAAAGTGAAGATTTGCTTTGTCTAATTTGGTTTGCGGTACAGACCGACCTCTAAGTTTTCAGTGGTTGATATTTTGGCACAGAGATCTAAAAAAATTGTCTTCCCGTGCCATTCTGGCGTGCAAACGTGATCACAATGAAACCGCTGCCGAAGAATTGAGGATGGATACCCTTTGATAACAAAAATATCATAGGCCTATATGATGCACGTGGAAGATTTGGTCGAGCGCTTACAATACTGTTGGTAAGATGGGGTATTATGCTTACCATTATTATTACTATGATATACAGCTTGCCAGACAAATCAGATGAAGTGAATAATTAACCAGTCCACGCTTTCCGCATGATATGCAAAGAAATTTCGTCGGCACTATAGAGGAGTTGTAAAAACAATGCTGTTGTTGTTTTGCTTCCCGCGAACAGCAGGACCTCGCTTTATTTGCCGAGAGTAAACCAGTGGCAGTGTGTGTTGAAGCGAAAGCTGAGAAAATGCAAATTGTTTGAGGAGACATTACATGGGCTTGTTGAATTGCCCACAGCGAGTTGAGAGTGCATCTCCACACTGGAGGCAAACATTATGGGCCAAGCAAAAGACATTCGTTTAGTTTAGTTGAAGAATGTTTTGTCCGTTTCGATGAAGTGTCACACAAACGTATTCAAAATTTAAAAATAACGCTGTTACACGACATCTTAGCTCGGTGTTACTTACCCACTCACTCCTAACACCACTCTACATGTATTCCTCATCTTCCGTTTGAATTTGCTTCGACATTCCAAGCTTCATTTCGCTCTTTTATACAAATGGGAAACCAAAAGACAGTAACCAAAACCGGCGCACAAAAGTGCATGGTTAGTGGTTGTAAAAACTGAACTGAACTGAACCCACTCACTCTATTCTACTCTGATCGAGCCAATTGTGGAACGATCACTTGATCGCATTTAGGAGAACCCCCGGAGCTGGCAAAACCAAGCTATGGCAAGGAGCGGTACGAACGCAATCAGTTCTGAAAGAATTTAACCGTGCAGCTGTTGTATGTCAGGATCACTGCACCCCAACCAACCCCATCCCCTTACGTGGTCATACGGAAGATTGCCGAGAAGTTTGGAATCGTGAGGACCATTGAAGAGATTGCGATTTCTCTGCATAACCCGTTTATGTGCGTAGAAGCAATCTATGAGGATAATCAGTCTTCCATGAATATCCCCCTACAGTATTGTGAAATAAACCGCTTTTTTTGAACCCAAAATCAGTTACGCGCGCAAATTCGACGTACGTCAACTAGCACAGTTATGTCATCTGAATAAAATGTGGTCAATCCTTTTCGTCATTCACGTCTCTCTCTCTCTGTCTTCACTTCCATCTTCGCTGTTTGGTGGAATGTAAAACGCGTTGCATTTTTATCCATCTGATGCCACATTCAAATAAGCCTCTCTGTCAACGTATCACAGTCTAATCCATCAGTCGAGACGTTTATCGGAACGTCGATCACAGGCATTGACGATTACCATGTTTTTTCATGTTTGAGTCCTAAGCAAAACGAAATTCCTGTTAGACATTATTATGCTGTTCGCCAATCAGATTCGGAATGAATCGATTAGATGGTATGCGCTCTTTTCGCAAGCCTAGCAACTCGTTTTTTTTATTACACACCCAAGTGTGATGAACGGTAGACGGGGCGAACCCCATTGTCAGGAGGATCTGATGTTCTGTGGTGGAAACCGGCAACCTAAGCCCCGAGACTTGGAGTAGCAAATTACATAAGGCCTCGATAAGTTAGACGTGGTATTGAACCGGACGACAGCTAAGCCGTCTACCACCTAAGTCGGGTGGCGTGGCGGGGCTCGAAAATCGGACCACATGGTCCAAAGCACGCCAGTGATAGTGACAGTGTGCCATCACCATCAGATGGACGAATGCGTCCCGTGGACATCAGGATCTACATAAAATTTGGTAACGGAAACCGGCAGTCTGGAAGTGGTTACCATGTCCACAACAGGAACTGATAGGTGAGAATGTGATCAGGAGATTGATCAACTCAAACGGAAAAAGGAAGTATGCCAATCACACTACCACTACTACTTACCGTCGGGCAAACATCCGAGCCTCCTGATCCGCATCGTTAATGCCTTTTTTTAGCGAATCTTGAAGCAAAGCAACGTGCTTTTCAAGTACATTCAGGGGCCAGGCTCTAAAAATGATCTCCAAAAACTCACAAATGCATCTGTCAGGCAGGAGGAGAGGGAATGGAAAGAACACAGAGATAGATTGTAAAGTAACGTGATCTTTGCAAGGGTAAAAGTGAACGGTAAACGAGGTGTATCATGTTTGAGGCAGAAAAAGACAATTATATTCACAACCAAATCAGAATAAAAGCGGCTCCCTTAACGCCTTATCAAGTGTATCCTATGTTTCGCTTCTTAATTCGGAAAAGACATTTTCGAACGAGAACCACTTTTTATTCCCAATACTCGATTTACAGACTTTGGTCCATCACAGTACTAGTCGGGTATTTGTCTCACACAATCGACTGTATTCAGAGTGATGCGTAGTGCTGAGAGCTAACCCAAGGCTCAAGTTATTGGTAGCTGTTTTGGAAATGAAATTTTCGTGGATGGATGACGCTTGGATCTACAACGATCTACAACTGTGACGTGGAAATGAAATGAAAAGCATAGAGAGAAGTAGCACTGACGAGTGATGAAACCAATCTATATATATATATATGAATTGAATACCGGCTTGAGAACAAGCTTGGGGCCAACGCCATAATAATATTGACAATAACAATAACGAGGGGGGGGGGTTGGAAACGCGCACGGATACTTGTGATGGTCCTAGTTTACGGGATGATGCAAACCACGGGAGAAATGTTACAGTTTCCGGACAACTGTGATGAGTCAAGCTGCCCAGGTAACGCCAGCAAAGCGCCTACGCGTTAGTCTCTAGACTACAAACCATAGGCGGATTGTACCGACCAATCAGAAGCCGTGAGGCCCAGACAGAAACTGTATGATGCCAGGAACACTAGCACGCGATTAACAGAGGCTTGGATGACCAATGAACTTCTTTTGAACATAGCATTTAAACCCCATGATTTCTTTCAATAAATAAACTGCTACTTATGTAGCATTTTCCTTGCGTCTCGGTTACTTGGGATATGGTCGTGACAGAGCCAGTGTGATTCAGTGCTTATCTCAGGAGAAGAATTAAGAATGCACAAAGTAGCGTGAGTGAACTATCTTCTGATTTGATTCTGATTCAGGATCTTTGAGGAAATTGGCGCACCTACTAAATACTCAATGCTATGTGCATCTTACCTTAACAGCACTGCAGATGTAGATCACACTGCACGCGTGAAGAAATCCGCTTGTAAAAATCTAACAAAAATCAATACATGATTCCTTTTTATCACGAACATGGACTTTCGCTTACACACACGGCCTCTAATCGGACGACTATCGGGAATCGCCGCTTCATGAAACCGTTTGACCTCAATCCAGATACAGTCAAGAGGGCGCATTGACCTTAGCAATGGCAGTTCATACAAGCAAAGTCACTATGTATGTGTGCGCGCATCTATTTGATTCATGAACCGAAGGCGAAATCAGTAACTGTAAAAAGTAAGATTAGCAAAGGTGATGCGCTTTAATGTGCTGATCATTCTGGGCGAGATATGGACCACAGTTTTGAACTAACCAATTCAACCATTATTTCATGACATGTCATTGACATGTCACAATTGCATAATGGACATAAAGTTTTACAATGCCTCCACCTGTACTTTAAGTTTGGCTGTTTTCGGAAAAGACTTGAAAAGTCCACCAAAATGCAGACCTCCAAAAGCCTCAGTATGGTTGAAAAAGCTCCTATATGACCAACTATCTCAAATAGCCCCTGTTGAAGAAGCCCTGCCCTCTCGGATTTGGACCAAACTTCAAAGTACGTTTGCGAGGGCGAACATCAAAGACATATTACAGTTTCCAGTTTGTACAACCATTAACTACGCATATTCGTGCGCCGGTTTTGGTTGCTGTCTTTTGG